AAAAAAGAAAAAAGAAAAAAGCCGGGGATTTAGCTCAGTGGTTCCGGCACCTGCCTTGCAAGCGGCAAGTCCCGAGTTCGATCCCCAGTACCAAAAATAAATAAATAAATAAATAAATAAAAATAAAATTTTTAGAGGCTACATCCAGAAGTAGATAGAAAAAATAAAATCTTGATTAAATGAAAGCAAGAAAGAATATTCCAAGCTCCTTGCTACCCAAGAAGTTTTCTGTAATTCTACAAATTTAGTTATTTCCACTGTTCTCTATATTCATCCCAGGTGATACCTGGTCTCCATTACAGTATAGATATTCTCAATTCAGCAAATCAATATTATCTGTCAATGTTCAATATCAGTGAATTCATATTCACTGATTACACCCTATGAGAACCTGAGATACAATGAATACAAATCTTAAGAACACCCACTAGGGCCCAGGGATTTAGCTCAGTGGTTCTGGCGCCTGCCTTGCAGGCTCAAGGTCCCAAGTTCGATCCCCGGTACCGAAAAAATAAAAAAAAGAACACCCACTCTTTCATTTAGAGAATTTTTTTTTTTTGTACCGGAGATCAAACTCAGGACCTTGCGCTTGCAAGGCAGGCAGCAGTACCACTGAGCTAAATCCCTGGCCCATTTAGAGAAATTATTTATAAACAAGGTAGTAAGAACAAGAAGCCTCATCTGAGTCTGTTGTCCTAATCCAAAGGGGAGCTGGGGACAAATATACCTGTAGAGGTAGCTTTTAGTAAATGATCAAGTGCTCGCTTCGGCAGCACATATACTAAAAAAGTAAATGATCAAAAGAAATATGCCTTACAGATAATAAGCACTACTACTTATTTAATACTTACAACACAACAGGCATCATTTCAAACATTTTTGCACAGACATCCCTTTCTACACAAAATCGCTTTATTTCATTCTCAAAATTCTACTTTGAGGTTGGTATATTAATTTCTACATCCCAGATGATGAAACAAAGGATCAGGAAAGTACCTATAACTTTTTATAAAAAGTGGGAGAACCACTTTTATTTTTTGGTACCAGGCATTGAACTGGGGACCTTGCGCTTGCAAGGCAGGCACCAGAACCACTGAGCTAAATACCCGGCCTGGGAGAACCACTTTTATATCCAAGCCTACCTGATTCCCAGTTTTGTGTTCTTTGCTACTAGGCTAATGAACTGTAATACTGAATTAAATACATTGATGGAATTCAGTGTGACTACTTCATCCAAACAAAAGTTAGCAAGCAAAAGGCAAATCTTTTCACCTGGGAACTTAAAAATCAGATTGGAGAAATAAGAGGTGTTTTCTCCACTCTCAGTATTCATCGCTTCCTTTCAAGAGCACTATGAAGCTTTATAGGTGTATTTTACCTCTGTATCCTCTGTGGTTCCAGTTCCAGCTGAACTTGTGACAATCCCAAATCTCTCCTTCCTCTTTTTCAGCTTCTCATCATCTTCAGACTGTTTAGAAACAAACAAACAAACAACAACAACTGTTCAAACAAGCTATCCACAAAGTAAATAAGAATGAAGTTATTAGCCAGCCATAGTGGGGCATATGTGTAGTCCCAGCTTTTAGGGAGTCTCTGGCAGGAGAATCTCAAGTTTGAGGATAGCTCAGGCAACTCAGAGACTGTCTCAAAATTTAACACATTCCCACTTGCTTGAATCACTGGTGATACAAGTATGACTCTCCCATCAGGTGGCCTGAACCACTGGTGGCAGAAATGGATCTAAGCACTTTTATCAAACTTTTTACTAATAAAATTAATAAAGTCTATAAATGGACCAAATCTATTAGTTGCCTGAATTTGAATACTACCCAAATATAAAAATTAATACTATTCATACCAATTAAAATTATTCAACAAATTTATTTCCTTAAATTAAAAGGTTCCGAGTTTGATCCCCAGTACCAAAAAAAAAA